AAAATGGTACTTTAAAAACAGCAGCAACGATAGTAATATGATCTATCTGTTTCAGTCATTGGTTTGAAGTCGGTGGACGCCAAACGAGACAGTACCCCTCCTTATTGCCTGAAGTTAGTACTGACCAGAAAGAAGTGACTATCAAAACAAAACTGCAACAGACCTTTGTCTGCTCGTTGGGATGGTAATCCTAGTCACTACCGATTTATTCAGCAATCAGTATATGAATGACTGTTTACTGGTATCCAGTCTAGAAGCGCACATTCTGGCCGACGCCATAATCTTATGCCTACACCAGCAAGTCCACGAGAGCTAGCCATTGGGTCTCCGGGTACTCTTAAGGTGGATTTCGAAGATTCAACACACTAGTTGGCGCAGGTTAACCTTATAACCAAACTCATATCCTGTATACGTGTCCCAGAGACACAGAATATATCCATGGCTATACATTCCAGAGTGATGCTTGATGTCCGACTTGGCATAGAGTTCGCACGTTGAAAGCTCCTACATGAAATCGATGGGGAGATCCTAGGAGACTAGGATTGAAGTTTCGACGGCTTTGATAGTAGGTAATAACTCCAGAGTGTAGGGTTACGGAAGGTGTCACGGGCTTAGTATTAGTATCAGGAGGTGAAGTCAAAGGAGGAGACTGAGTAGAGAAAAATAGGCTATGTTTGATTGGGTCTTGTGCATTAATGGAAGAGAACGGGCGATCGACACTTCCCAGCTGCCCACACTGTGAAAGGTTAGTTCTTCCAGAGGCACCCAAAAAAGAAGGGGTAGTGCGTGACCGCAGAGGCCAAGGGACATCTGCTTGAGGTCGATCACAAATGGCCTTTTAGTAAGTTTGAAATTTTGCTTGTTTGCTTTTAAATCCAAATATGAATCCCTACTGCAGACATCGGAATAGCGTGAGGAAGTGAGACCGAGCCATTTTGAGGGTCGATATTTTAACCTACCTCCTTTCCATCAACGTAGCACTACTGGTCATCCAAGGGAAACACTTTACTGCTGTCACATCCCCGTCAAACCAGCAGTAGGATTTCGCCCTCAGACCCGTATTATAGCGTAGCAATTCACACCATAATGGTAACTGCATTTTATCTAATCACTATCCAGTATATCTTTCTGGCGAAATAGGACCTCCAGGGAACAAGTGTTTCACCAGCAAAAGTTGTAGGATCACTGTAACATCCAACACCAACTACTAAGTCAAGGTAGCAGCTATCAATCAGGTGATGACTTATAGATGGACTCAACTAAAACAACCAATATCAAACTTTTGAAAATGTCATTCAACCGGATTCCAGCAGATTTTCCGTGGGCACTGCAGTCAAAAACATGCTCCTTTAGCAGGTAACTCACGGAAAACACGACTTCCACAATGTGGGCAGCCAGGAAATTTCAACCGACCTCACAACTACGTCAACACTCAAAATCCCTCAGATCAATGTCCACATACCACATCTTCACCTTTAATTCTTCCCTCACGTCTCCCAATCAATCGTCCTAAATCATATTCAATTCCTTCCAGCTGTGCAGCTCTTGACAACCATCTCGGTTCACAGAACAGCATCGCTGATCTCTTGAGACAACGCCCTGAACTACACACTAGAGCCTTCAATGTCCGCCCTACCTCAATCAAATCGGTCAACAAACTTCATCGGTCAAAACTAAAGCATCTTGGGCCACGAATGTGTGTTGTGTTTGTGAGAAACATGAATAGAACTCAAGTGCAGTTATTCACATAACCTCACTCAGTCAGTGTGGTGAGTCTTCGAAATCCACCCTTCCAGTTTCTGGAGATTTGATGGCCAGTTCTCGCCGTTTTGCAGGTGTAGGTATACCATTAGTTGGAGCGGAGGCAGGAAGTCTGCTACTCCACTGGATCTCAGTTGACAGTCACCACCTATTAGCTATCCCAGAGGATGCTAAAGTTAGGACTCAAAAGAGTAACAGAACTCACAGTTACCTCACTCTAATCTCTGTTTATGCATACATTAAAAACGGTCTGGAAAAAGGGGAAAGATGAGTTTAATTTTTTGCGTTTGTGACGCAGAACAGAGGTAACTCAGTGTTCAAACTGTATACATTCTACATAACCAGAGAATCAAAAGCTTTCACCCAATTGAAAATAAAAGTGTATGACACTGGTTTTCATAGAACACTGTTTGTGGATATTTTGTTCTGATATTTGGCTACAGGATCTTAAAAAAATAAATGAGGTATAAACGTGTTTTGACCAATAACTACCACAATAATGCAACTTGTCCCACTGCTCAATGGATTAGGACTTCTAACCAGGCGATCCTTAGAGTTCGTTAATAACAACTACATGTTTTGATCTGACCTATATCTCATATTTTCACGTAGTATCCAGCTATCCAACAAGCTGTGCTGGTGGAATGCTTATTTTGGCTAGCATGAACTTCAGATATAAAGAGAGAAGTCGTCTGATGTGACTTCCACCGACCTCAACTCAGTGGTAGACACAATACATCATATCGCTATCAGCTATCGCTGGAGATGATTAGAAGAAGATTACCTCTATTTCTGGATCACACGTCTGGACAGCGATCACGCGTTGGTTTGAGCACACGTATGTCTGCACTTAAATGGATGTAAAAGATATGAGAACAAGACCATTCCGAGTGCTGCTTGACGATGAGGATACTGAGGCTGTTTTCAACGAGAAACTGTCTAGACGGTTGTCGGAACAGGACAACATCACTCATCCAGAAGAGGCCTGGCGTCATCTGTCTGCTGTGGAAACAGCGTTAAAGACCGTGACTGACTGCCAGAAAGTTATTGGAGAACACCAGTGGATTTTAGGAGCTTCTTCTGAATTAATAGATGCACGCGAACGCATCTCTGCAGACTCCGGGGAAAATGAGGGGTGGACGCAACTCAAATGTAGGATGACAAAATGTCTACGCAATGTTCGTGGGCAGTGGTGGCGAAGGCTAGAGAGATGGAAAATGCCGCAGCGATAGATGACAATCGACAGCTATCTAGAGATATTGAAGAATCTGGTAAGGAAAGGTCAGTGGTTAGTGAGACCATGGAGTAAATGAATGGGTCTATGATTCGGCCGGAGGAGAGGTGACTTGAAGGATGAATGGTACACTTCGAGGAACAGTCAAATTGGCTGCCGGCTACCACTCCGTTGTGCACCAGTTTTCGAGAAAAAAATCTTACGGTTATCCGAGAGGAATCAATATGAGGAATTGAATGTATAAGACTGTAGATTCTAGTATTATCAGACGTCTGACTACAACTTGGGAAGAGTAGCGAAGTCGAGAAAACCAAGCACGCTTAGGACATGGCCGTGGGTATACTGACAGGATATTCATAGGTCATAGATAACAGGGATATACAACCGCGCCTGACACTTACTGCATTATTTCACCTGAAAGAGGCATTCGAATATGTCGATCGAGATGTCTCAAAGCGTTGTCTCTTACTGAAATCAGTGAGGGGCAAATAAATCACTCTGTTGAAAGGTGTTTGTCTGAACACCCGAGGATGTCTTACAGCCAGTAGTAAGGTGTCACATGAGTTCCCTGTGTTGAATATAGCACACGTCAAATATGTCCACTCTCCCCATTCTTCCTCAACTTTATCATAGTTGTACCAATATAGCCCTCCATCTCGTCGTTTGACTTAGCACGGATTGATTTTATCACAGGAGAATCCTTAGTACAGTTACGGTATACAAGAAACATAACGTGAGGAGAGGAAGCTACGAAAATGTAGTCTTCTGGATACCTTGACTGGGGGTCTGAAAATGCTTGGGATGAGTTTTTCACAACTCGAATGCGAATTGTTGCTCCAGATCACGTTTGTTGTCGCGCTGTGCAAGCTTACTTGGGAAGTCGGATCCACTCCGGTGGGCCAGTAACCAACAAAATCTCTATATGGATGCAAAAAGTTCGATTGGCTTTCGTCATCTTACACCATTTATTGTATCAGTGGAGTATCCCATTAGCTATTAGATTGAGTGTAATATGCTGCAATCCATTCTGGTTCTACTATACGGCTGCGAAACAAAGCTATTAAAGGTAGAGGACATGAGAAGTATTCAGGCATTCCACTACTGTTGCCTTAATAGCACCGACTGTGTCGTGGTATCACCACATCAATAACACAGAAGTTAGGTGTAATGTCAGATGAGTTTTTGTAAACGTGCATCAACTCAGGCGGGTTGGACAAGTGTTACTAATGCCTAATCACCATCTGCCTCTTCATACAGTGTTAGCTGAAGTAGATTCAGGTCAGAAAAACGTTAGAGGTGGCCAGATTAAAACGTGAAATCATCGCCTGAAATCTGATTAGCGATTTGAGCTGTGTAGGTAAATGCAGACTATTCGGTTAGGGTCTGTGTGACAACAAAAATCGGTGGTTGGAGACTTTAGGTGATATGGCCCAAAATCGATCTCATTGACGTAGATGTACCCACACATTCTCATCGTCTTAACCGTTATACTGAATTCAGTATTTCCATACACTCTTTTAGTCGCTTCAAGATTTTCTATCACCTTGACTATTTTCTTTTTTTATCTTTCGTCGTGATGCATTCTGACTTGATGTGCTGATGTGTGGTGACTTCGATTGTTATGTAGTAATACCAGGTCCCATGTTTCCATTTACTGACTGACTTACGGAAAAGAAATAGACTGAGAAAGCTTTGATGTAGTATAACAACGAAGTAGAAGATAAAGTAATTCTCGGGTATGTAACAGTCAGATGAAACTGCAACACTAAAAAATACCAACATAACTCAGATATTTCATATAAATGGAAAGAAAACCCAGTTGTTTGATACAATAAGTAAGATTAAAACTAACTGATAACTGACACCTTGACTTAATGTCCAGGTTTAGTTGATCCACAATATTTCGTCCGACTGTCAAGGTTAGACAAGATATAAGGTCATAGTGTTGGTGACCAGAAGTATGAAGTGATAACGGAATCAAACGCTTTTATTACATACCATGGATGCAAAATATGGTTTTTTACAGGAAGAATACATTGATGCTTTATCTTTTTAGAATTCGACATCTTATTACTCCTCGACCCAGTTGTTGTTTGGCCGTTCATTCTATCAACATCTTTTACGTGGTGTGCAGTTATGGTAACTTTGTGCTGTTCTAGTCAACCAATCAACTTCTATATCTACAAAATATCTATCAGTATAAAATTCGGATTAAAAATATATGAAGAGGATCAAATGACCATTAAAAAAAATATCTGGGAAACAGAAACCACCTACATATTATACTTACTTCCACTGTGTGACCTCTTCGTCCGCAATTGCAACAACCTTTGGATTTTACGCCGCAGTATAAACGTACTGGCTTACCTTCCTTAGTCTGTGAATACAAAAAACAAAGTGTGAACAACTGACACATGGAAAACAAGAATATGCAAAGAAGTTACTCAGTGAGAAGTAGACTGAACAGCATTTTACAAGTACTGTATATATAATCATTTAACCAGTCTAAAATTAACAACATGGAAACATAAAACGTTTCGTTTTCCATTATCTAACAATTCAATAGAAATGAAAGTGTAAATAATCATACAAATTAGAACAAGATATGTAAGCGAACAATACTGTTTTCAATTGGATCCTCTTCAGACTTTACTCTACTACAAATAGCTTCATATGTACAAAATTAAACCAATCATGTAGATTTGTCGGTTGACGTGATAAATGTTTTAAAATGATGGCGATAATAATAATAATGATAAAAGTGATAACGTTGACTAAAGCACATGCAGTACAGATGATAATGATACGAACTAAGAAAGCACCATGAAAATGTAGACACTCCGACAATCAAACTGGGTCAAAAGCTTGTGAAATAAAAGTTGTGTAATACTGAAGTACGCGGTAAGCAGATAAACAAAGCTTAAACAAATACCGTAGGTATATAGAAGGGGTGAAGAATCAAAAAACGGGTAGGAAAAAAACTGAATGATAAAGTCATTCACTAAGTATTTTCTGGCCAAGGGAGATAAAAGGGGTGCACAAATTTCTTCTGGATACAAAGACTAGGATTACTAGCTTGAATCCCCAAAGTTTCTGCTATGTGTAAAAGATGAGACTGAATACCTTTCGAAAGATGAGATGGTGTGTGTTGAATAATCGTGAAAGCATTGTTGATTATCGGAATGTCTAAATTTTCATGGCGCTTTAGTCAACGTATATATATATATATATATATATATATATATATATATATATATATATATATATATATATATATTAAGCTATTTGTATTGGAGTAAAGTATGAAGAGGATCTAGTTGAAAATAATATTGTTCGCTTAAATGTCTTGTTCTAATTTAAATGATGGGAATTTTTAAAACTCTAAAATAGTAGTACAACCAATCAGTAAAAACTTAAACTTATTTGGAGGTCAGGAATTCCCATTGTAACATTAAGAACAAGATATTCAGCTATGAGACTCTTCAACGAATTTATTTTCAAGCTGTATAGTCGTATATGATATTTGAAAAATTATATACCGTGAGGAAACCTAAACACTATATGATGGTGTTGACAATAATAATGGAGCGGATGATGAAATAGGCATTTGTGATTATGATAATAATTGGAGCATGAATGATAACAAAGTGGATTACGTAATATATGGAATGATTCATACAAGGTGTATAACTCAGAAGGGAGTGAAGAAATTAATGAAAGTGGTAAACAATTGAGTATTGTGTAATAAAATAAGACAAGTTGGTCAAGATGAAATCAATTTTTTCTAAAAGATTAAGACAATTAAGTGAAATAACACCGGAAACTAATCAAAGTGAAAGCAATTACACGATACCAATAATAGTGGTAAAGGAAGGATACAAAGGTTAAATTAACAAAGGGGGAGGAAGCTAATGGGGTTGGAAAATGTTATGGCCATGGTAAAAACAGTGACTGTACATACTCCTTTTGTACACACAGATAAGGTTTTAGTTCATGAATAGCTAAAGCCTCCGCTGTTTTAAGGAGTTGAAAACGAAAAAAGACGTGGGAGATTTGGGAGAATTTAATAAACAATTTAAAGGTCATTCTCTGTGTTTGTTGAGTAATGGAAATCAATCAAATGTTCTAGAATAGAACTTCTAACAGATTTTCTCTCACCTTGATGAAATTAAGCTGGAACATGTTCTCGTATACGTGTAGAAAGCACTCTCTGGCTACGCCCAATGTACCTTGTTTCACAAGAGTAGGTGACCTGACTTACCACTTTCATTAATTTTTTCACTCCCTTCTGAGTTATACACCTTGTATGAATCATTCCATATATTACGTAATCCACTTTGTTATCATTCATACTCCAATTATTATCATAATCACAAATGCCTATTTCATCATCCGCTCCATTATTATTGTCAACAACATCATATAGTGTTTAGGTTTCCTCACGGTATATAATTTTTCAAGTATCACACACATACGACTATACAGCATGAGCTTTTTCGATTCGGCGTTAGAACAAACAAATCCCATACCAACAATCCTAAAACACAGTGTCACAGGCCCTAAGCATACGTCTTATTGGTCAGCGGACAGGTAAACACTCGTTGCATTAAGCACTAAAATAAAAACATTTCGACGGTGAACAGCCAGAAATTGTCAACCGGTCCCAAGCATCAAGCGGTATGCAAAACACAGTGAACCATAACTTAAACTACCAATCTATGTCTTCAACTTTGCCTTTACTTTCTGATACCAATGCCAAGCCGTTTAAAACTTCCTCAATCTCTCACTAGGCGTCCGTTGTCAACGGTTCAAGTCATCGAAATATTATTTCCAATACACCCCACCGTCGGTTTGACATTGGATCCTTCAACGACCGAATCACACGCCAAATCGGATACCAGACATTCCTTGCCAGAACTCTAGTATCTCGAGTAATGGGTGAATCATATGTCCACGAAACACGTATGCAGAACCCGAGCGTGGTTGCTCATTTGGCCTCACCTGGCCAATGCAGTGCATCTCCAAACTTGACAAGTGTCCGGAGACCCAATAGCTAGCGCTAGTGAACCCGCTGTGTAGGCATAGCACTGAACTGTAGTGCACTCCTAAACTGGATACCAGTCAACAACCACTTATGTGCTGTTCGACTGAACGGATCTGTAAGAACTAAAAAGGATCGTAAGACCAACCGATGCACATTCGTAACCTCCACCTACGCATTCACCAACGGTATCTCAGACGACAGAAGATAAATTCTATCAACAGCTATCAATCATTTAAGATCAAGCAAAACGTTCAAAGATAGTCATACTAGCAGACGAGTTCAACGTTTGAGTGTATACGGCGTACCATGCCAACGAATCGACAACAGTGATTGCCTCCTACAATATTGTTCTGACAGTCACTTGTCTCTGGCCACCATTAACTTCAGGCATGATCAGAGACACTGCCTTGGCATCCACTAACATCAAACCAACGATGGATACAGACAGATCGTATTTCTAGAAGCCATAGTTGGATAGGTTCGATGGAGGACTGGCACTCTTTCTGGAATACCTATTTAGACTCCGATCATGCGTTAATACGGGTAGCTGTAGGTATGCACCTTACTGGTCGCAGGAAACAGACAGTAAGGAAGCCTGTGTGCTCAATTAAAAGGTGAGAACGTCAAGTGCATGTTAGGGATGAGGTCGCCAGCTATTCATCTGAACGTGACATTGATCCTGATGCTGAGGAAATCTGACGTGATATCAAGTCTGCTGTGCTAACAGCGGTAACGATAGTTGAGAACTTGTATTTTGAGGTTTTCAAACATCAACGGATTTCCTCAAAGTTAACCTAATTGATTGAAGCGAGAAGAGTCAATCCCGTTGGTTTTGATCACAATGAAGAGCGGAAGCAACATGAAGGTAGACTAACTAAGAGTCTTCTACAATGATCCTGAGCAGTGGTGGGTGGCGAAAGCAAGACAGACGGAAAAGGCACCACCATTGCTTTTGTGAAGCCCGCTTGAATATCTGGGCTACCAGAATTTCCACCTGTCATATTGCATCAAATTTTTCAACAGACTTTTTCGTTTCAATCTTTCTATTATGTCTTCTGATAGCGTTATAAATCCATGCACATTTCTAAAAAGCTTACAGCCTTCTGCGATGCTAGTATCAAATAAGATGAGGAAAAAGCATCACGGCAGATGGCAACATGCTTTGAAGCGAATAACCTTATCTCTAGTGACTCTGAAATCATAAGCACGAACTGCAGGTCCCTGCAGGGAAAAGTAGATTACTTGCAATCTCTTTTATCCTCCGATGTGTACCGTAATACTGGAGTAATTACACTGCAAGAAACTTGGTTGCATGAACTTTATGAGGACAATCTGATTTCTCCGAATGATTTCAAAATTTTTCGTCATGATCGATGTAGCTCTACTAAGAAAAATGCAAGTGAAGTAGCTACGTTCATCAACACCCTTTAGTACATTTTGAGTTACATATGCTTCAAATTCTTTAATGACTATATAGATTGCATCACTTTAAATCATTTGAACAAGCATCGCTTTATTTATATAACAAATATTTTATGCGATACCTGGTTGCGGATTCTCCGAATTATCCAGTTTCTCTGATATATTCGCGGAATTCGCAGCCCCTATACTCTGTGGTTCCCTGTCGACAATATGTGGCGATCTCAATTCTTGTGACCAAAGCTTCCTCAAAACTCTTGGACATCAAAACGTTGTTAACTTCACAACACGGCAGGATGCAACACCAGGGCTGGTATTCGTCAATGATACTGATATATACGAAACTCGAAAGAGGTCGCCTCTGCTCAGCTCAGATCATTGTATTATACATGTTTTTGCCGAAAATATATGGCAAACCACACAAAACAGGTTTCACATATAAGGTTGTACATAGAAACTACTCACATAGTAACAAACTTAATCTAAGAGGAATGCTACGATGTACATACTGGAATACAATTGACCGATATTTTGAAAGATACTATTGATGGTGTGACATGCTATCTGAAGTTCTGCCTGAATATATGTTACCCCAAGTGAAAAGCTTTTTCTACCCCTCGATCGTATATCTTCTACCCAGCTTAAGAAAATAAGAAGAGAAGAAGAAAGACTAAATAAGGTAAGTGGTAGTGCTGATGCTCGTCGATTGAACATTTTAATTAGGTTGGAAATTAAACGTCTGAGTCTACTATACTACCAGAAACTGCTGTCATGCAAAGGCTCTTCCAACGTGTGGAAACCTTTTAAAGACCTCACTGGTAGTAAACACCCTAGTAAAGAGGCACCTGTCGACGTCTGTGCCTTGAATACATAGTTCATATGTCGACCCACTTAATCGATCCCACTTTGTCTAC